CCTTAACCCCCCACCATAACCTTAACACCCCCCCCAAAACCTTATAACCCCCCATAACCTTAACACCCCCCCAAAACCTTTACACCCCCCAAAACCTTTATACCCCCCCAAACCTTATCACCCACCAAAACCTTATACCCCACCAAAACCCTTATACCCCCCACCATAACCTTATAACCCCCCACCAAACCTTAAACCCCCCACCAAAACCTTATACACCCCCCCATAACCTTATCACCCCCCAAACCTTTACCCCCCCATAACCTTATACCCCCACCATAACCTTAAACCCCCCCACCATAACCTTATAACCCCCCCCTTAACCTTATACCCCCACCAAACCCTTTTTAAAACCCCACCATAACCTTATACACCCACCAAAACCTTTAAAACCCCCCCAAAACCCTTTATACCCCCCACCATAACCTTATAACCCCCCCATAACCTTAACACCCCCCCATAACATTTTTCCCCCACCAAAACCATACCCCCCACCATAACCTTATACACCCCACCAAAACCTTTAAACACCCCCCAAAAATTATACACCCCACCAAAACCCTTATACACCCACCATAACCTTATACCCCCCCCATAACCTTATACACCCCACCATAACCTTATACTCCCCACCATAACCTTATACACCCCACCATAACCTTATACTCCCCACCATAACCTTATACACCCCACCATAACCTTATACACCCCACCATAACCTTATACTCCCCACCATAACCTTAATACACCCACCATAACCTTATACACCCCACCATAACCTTATACACCCCACCATAACCTTATACTCCCCACCATAAACCTTATACTCCCCACCATAACCTTATACTCCCCATACACATAACCTTATACTTCCCCACCATAACCTTATACCCCCACCATAACCTTATACTCCCCACCATAACCTTATACTCCCCCACCATAACCTTATACACCCCACCATAACCTTATACTCCCCACCATAACCTTATACTCCCCACCATAACCTTATACTCCCCACCATAACCTTATACACCCCACCATAACCTTATACACCCCACCATAACCTTATACACCCACCATAACCTTATACTCCCCACCATAACCTTATACACCCCACCATAACCTTATACTCCCCACCATAACCTTATACACCCCACCATAACCTTATACACCCCACCATAACCTTATACTCCCCACCATAACCTTATACACCCCACCATAACCTTATACACCCCACCATAACCTTATACACCCCACCATAACCTTATACTCCCCACCATAACCTTATACTCCACCCCATAACCTTATACTCCCCACCATAACCTTATACTTCCCCACCATAACCTTATACTCCCCACCATAAACCTTATACTCCCCACCATAACCTTATACTCCCCACCATAACCTTATACACCCCACCATAACCTTATACTCCCCACCATAACCTTATACTCCCCACCATAACCTTATACTCCCCACCATAACCTTATACACCCCACCATAACCTTATACACCCCACCATAACCTTATACACCCCACCATAACCTTATACTCCCCACCATAACCTTAAAACTCCCCACCATAACCTTATACTCCCCACCATAACCTTATACACCCCACCATAACCTTATACTCCCCACCATAACCTTATACTCCCCACCATAACCTTATACTCCCCACCATAACCTTATACACCCCACCATAACCTTATACTCCCCACCATAACCTTATACTCCCCACCACGCCCACGCTCACCTGCAGAGGTGGGCGTGGGTAGGAACATGTTGCTTGTTTACTCTCCCTGGTTACTTAAAGTAACGTCCTGCACAGTGTACGCACGAACAGTCTGCTTGTACGGACCCTTGAGCCAAATACCGATGCTTGGCTTACATGTTGACTCAGTGTGTGTGTGTGTGTGTGTGTGTGTGTGTGTGTGTGTGTGTGTGTACTCATGTGCACCCAGGAAAATACAGTGTACACTCAGGGAGACCTGGTATAACTTGGTACCTACCCACTGAGGGAGACCTGGTATACCTCGGTACCTGCCCACTGAGGGAGACCTGGTATACTTCGGTACCTACCCACTGAGGATGACCTGGTATTCCTTGGTACCTACCCACTGTGGGAGACCTGGTATACCTCGGTACCTACCCACTGAGGGAAACCTGGTATACCTCGATACCTACCCACTGAGGAAGACCTGGTTTACCTCGGTACCTACCCACTGAGGAAGACCTGGTATACCTCGGTACCTACCCACTGAGTTAGACCTGGTATACCACGGTACCTACCCACTGAGGGAGACCTGGTATGATGTTCAATGAGGACAAATTCCAACTACTCCGTTATGGAAAACTGGAGGAGATAATAACTAGAACAGAGTATACTACTGACTCTGACCATACAATAGAGCGGAAAAATAATGTAAGGGACCTGGGAGTAGTAATGTCTGAGGATCTCACTTTCAAGGATCACAACAGTGCCACGATCGCACGTGCAAAGAAAATGATAGGATGGATAATGAGAACTTTCAAAACGAGAGATGCCAAGCCAGTGATGATTCTTTTCAAATCTCTAGGCTGGAATACTGCTGTACATTAACATCTCCATTCAAAGCAGGTGAAATCGCAGATCTAGAGAGTGTACAGAGATCCTTTACTGCACGTATAAGTTCTGTCAAGCACCTTAACTACTGGGAACGCTTGGAAGCACTTGACTTGTACTCGTTGAAACACAGGAGGGAGAGATATAATTCCCTAAAACTACCTTTGGGAAAAATTTTTGGAAGGAATGGGCCCCAAAAACTGCACACAGAAATCAAATCCCTACGAAAGTAAAAAACCTGGGCAGAGGGGGAAAGCAAAATGCCCCAAAAAAAAAGTAGGGGCGCCATTGGGACACAAGGGAAAAAACCATAAGTGTCCGGGGCCCCAAAAATGTTCAAAAGCCTCCCCCAAGCTTTTGGGGGGAAATTTCCAATAAACCCCTGGATCCTTCAAGAAAAGAGCCCGGACAGATACCTAAAATCGTCCCCGGGGGACCGGGCTGTGGCTGTAAATTTTGGGCTGCGTGCGGCCAGGGAAATAAAGGCCTAGTTGATCAGGCCCCCGAACCCTCGGGGGCCTGGTCATGGGCCGGGCCGGGGGGGGTTTATCCCCGGGAAAACCTCCAGGTAACTTTTCCCGGGGAACCCATGAGGAAGACCTAGTATACCCGGTACCTACCGAATATTAAAGTATTTCCCGACAGGGATAAAAAGGGAATGAATAAGTAAAAGAACAGGGGATAAATAAGGGAATGAATAAGTAATGAACAAGTGATAAAAACGGTAATGAACAGGGGAAAGAACGGGCAATTAAAGAACAGGTGATGAAAAAAGGCGCAAGTAAGGGAAAAGGTGATGAACAGTGCAAGTTTGAACAGGTTTCAATTTATGAACAGGTGCAATAATGAAACAGGGGATTAAAAAGGTGCAATTTAAAGAACAGTGATAAACGGTCAAGTAATTTAACAGGTGTAAACAGGTGCAAGTAAAGAACAGGTGATAACAGATTACTCGTGTTTTAAAGATTGACCCCTAAAAAAGACCAAAGAACCATTTCCCGTTTTAAACCCAAAAATTTCTCTTGTGAAATACGGATGTGGGGGATTGTACCACGTAAACCCCTGTACCAAATGTAAACCCCTGTACCACTGTACCCCTTGTACCCCTGTACCACTGTACCCCTGTACCACTGTACCACGTACCACTGTAAACCCTTGTACCAAAGTACCACTGTACCACTGTACCCTTTTACCACTGTACCACGGGACCATTTTACCACTCTAAACCCCTCTACCACTCCAACCCCCTCTACCACTGTAAACCCCTTAAACCCCTGTACCCTTTTTACCACTGTACCACTGTACCACTGTACCATTGACCATTGTTTCCACTGTACCACTGTACCACTGTACCAAATGTACCCTTGTACCACTGTACCACTGTACCACGTCCCCTTGTACCACTGAAACCCCTGAAAACCCCTGTACCCCTTGTAAACCCCCTGTAAACCCCTGTACCATTGTACCAATTTTACCACTTTTTACCACTGTAAAACCCTTGTACCACTGACCACTGTACCACTGTACCATTGTACCACTGTTCCCACTGTACCACTGTACCCTTGGACCACTGTACCACTGTAAACCCCTGTACCCTTGTAACCACTGTACCCTGTAAAAAAAATTTTACCACTCTACCAAAATCCCTTTCCACTGTACCACTGTACCCTTGTTTCCACTGTACCACTGTACCACTGTACCCTTGTACCAAATTTCCCCTTAAACCCCTGTACCATTGTGGGCCCCTGTACCACTGTAACCCCTGTACCATTGTACCACTGTACCACTGTAAACCCCTTAAACCCCTGATCACGTACCCCTGTACCATTGTACCACTGTACCATGTACCACTGTACCACTGTACCACTGTACCCTTTTTACCCCCTGTACCACTGAAACCCCTGTATCCTGTACCACTGGGACCAAATTTTACCAAATGTACCACTGTACCACTGAAACCCTTGTACCACTTTCCACTGTTTCCACGTACCACTGTATCACTGCCACGAAAACCCTTGTACCAATGTACCCCTGAAACCCCCGTTTCCCACTGTACACTAGCTTTTCAAAACAATGAAAAAAGAGCTGGTAGTGTCCCCGAGCGTCAAACCCGGGCCCTAAAGTTTTCCTTAAATCACTTAACGATTAAAGTTTGCTGAAAAACCAAGTCTCCTTTCCCTTTTCTTGAAGGTTGACGTGGTACCTGCTCTCACGCCCTTGATGGACCGGCACGCTCCGTGGGCCACCTACCATTTTGGACCCCTTTCCCGCTCCCGTGGCCACCTACCCAAAATGGACCGGTTTACGCTCCCGTGGGAAACCCCCTACCTTTTTGGACCCGGGCACGCCCTGTGGGGCCAACCCACCATTAAGGACTGGTCAAAGCTCTGTGGAAAACCTACCCTTATGGGCCCGGGCCCCCTCTGTGGAAAAACCTAAAACCCTTATGGACCCGGGCAAACCCCTGTGGACCCCTACCCCTTTTTGGACCGGTCACCGCTCGTGGACCACCCCACCATTATGGACTGGGCAGCTCGTGGACCACCTACCATTTTGGACCGGTCACGCTCTGGGACCACCTACCATTATGGACTTGGGCACGCTCTGTGGGCCACCACCATTATGGACCGGTCCCCTCTGTGGACCAACCCACCATTTTGGGCCCGGTCACGCTCCCGTTACCACCTACCATTATGGACCGGTCCCCCTCGTGACCCCTAACCCCTTTTGGACTGGGCACGCTCTTTTGGACCACCCACCATTATGGGCCCTTCACGCTTTTGTGGACCAAACCCACCATTGGAACCCGGGCACGCTGTGGGACCACTTTCCATTATGGCCGGTCCCCGCTCTGGGCCACGTACCCCAAATCTTGTTTTAATTTTGGTTTCAGAAACCTTTTTTTGGTTTTAAACGATTAAAAACAAAATAAAAAAAATGGCTTAGTGCTTTGTTAACCCGGAGTGTTTTGATACCACACGTCACACTACCACAACCCCGGGGTATGACCACACGTCACAAATAACCCCACCCTGGGGTATGACTAGCACGTCAACTACCACAACCCTGGGGTTTTGACCAGCACGTCACACTAAACCCCAAACCCCGGGGTAGACAAAACACGTCCAAATACCACACCCCGGGGAAAGACTACACGTCACAAATACCACCCCTGGGGTTTTGATAGCCGTAACCAAATACCACACCCTGGGGTATGACCCCCACGTCCCACTACCCCACCCTGGGGGAAAGCCCAACCCGCACACTACCACACCCTGGGGTAAAGACCCCACGTCACAAAAACCCACCACCCCCCTGGGGGATCTTGCACTTTCCCCCTAAAACCCCAACCCCCGGGGTATACAGCACGTCACAAATACCCCAAAACCCTGGGGTATGACAAAAACGTCACACTACCACCCCCTGGGTAAAGGAAACCCGCACGTCACCCCTAAACCCCACCCTGGGGGAAAGGGCTTTTGCAGTCACATAACACCCCTGGGGGAAAGACCCCCACGTCACACTACCACACCCTGGGGATGACCGCACGTCCAACTACCAAAACCCCCGGGGGATGGCTACACGTCCAAAAACCTTTCCACACACTGGGGGATGACCAGTAAAGTCACACTACCCCTCCCTGGGGTATACCCCACGTCCACTACCACACCCTGGGGGAAAGACTACAAAGTCCAAAACTACCACACCCTGGGGGAAACCAGCACGTTTTACACTACCACCCCGGGGTAAAACTACACGTCACACTAACACACCCTTGGGTAACCCCACGGGCACACTAAACCCCACCCTGGGGTTAAGACCAGCACGTCCCCACTACCACCCCCTGGGGGATGACCACAAAGTCCACACCACAACCTTGGGATGACTACACGTCCCACTACCACACCCTGGGGTATGGGCCCCGGGACGTCCCCACTACCAACCCGGGGTATGACCACATGTCACACTACCACCCCTGGGGTATGCCCGCACGTCCCCCACAAAAACACCCTGGGGGAAAGACCACACGCACACACCCCCCTGGGGGATGACCAGCACGTCACACACCACACCCCGGGGGATGACCAGCCCCGTCACACCCACTACACCCGGGGTAGACTAGCACTCACACAAACCCCTCCCTGGGGGGATGAAACCCCACGTCACACTTTCCACACC